GACAAAATCTCCAGTGCTATAACCTGTACAGAAATAGAGGAGGAGAAAGAGGAGGAGGACCACTTGGAATTTCAAAGACTTCACTTTTGCCATCTCAGTTCAGCGTCAACATCCCATTCACAGCTGGGGAAGGGGCTTAGGAAGGGACAGGGTTGTCCGAGACCCATCAGCAGGAGAGTGAGAAGGACCCAAAGCACAGATGGGCTGGATCCAAACCTCTTCTTCTACCAGTTTTCCCCAGCACATCAGATGTTTGCTAAAATGGCAAATATCCCTCTTGTCTCTCCTAGGGTTTCTCTCCATAAGGCTCTTACAGGTTTGTGGTAAGCAGGTAGATGTAGAAAGGAGGCCAGCATAGAGGTAAGAGCTGCTTACACTGGCCAGGGAATTGCTTCTGTTTCTGCCTTTGATGGATTAGGGGAGTCAGAAGATGAACAATCACTATCTAAGCTGAGATTTTGGGGGGCTCCATTCACTAGTTCACGCACAGGACCACATAGTAAACTTGGGCAATGTTGGGAGATGAAACATCCAACATTTGCTGTTATGACATGGACTTTGATGTGGATTTGCCAACAGACAGCCAGGGAAATAGGCACCTTAGCAGAGCAGGTGTAAGAGCCCAGAGGAAGTCAGTAATCCTGGGAGACCTCAGAGATAGCAGAGAAGGTGACATCTGAGCAGTCTTGAAACTGTACAAGTTGAACATCAGAGAAGGCATTAGAGAAATGTTAAGCAATGGGAATAACGTTTGCCAGGGCCCAGATACATGAAATAGCAGGGGAACAGCAGAGGGCCGTGGAAATGGGCCCTGGACTTCGTTGTCATTGATAGTCCTTAGTGTAGTCTTGTGTGGTCACTAAAATAAACTTATTTCCACAGAGGAGAAAACAGATGCTCAGAAATGACTTGAGCAAGCCTTCTGAGACTAACACACCAGGGACTGACCACTGCTGGCTGGACACATAATGCCCTCAATGCAAAGTCAGAGTCTGATTCAAATTCTTACTTAAAGCTGTAATTAGTCTGGACATTGTTAACTACACGCAGGTTGGTGGAGATAGTAATTGACTAAGAACAGAAGAGTCCAAGAGTTGCTTTAAGCACGTCTGATCCAAATTCTCCAGTTGTCACCAGGAATTTGTATTCCTCTAGCTTTCAGTGCAGAATCCCTCTATGTTGACATCATTCTTAGTCAGATTCCAGCATGAGGCCAGCAGCAAGTCCAAGCTTATGTCTTATTTTTCAGACCCAGTGGAAAAGGAGGTCCCTCTTTACTGTTCCAACACAAAGTCTCAGGCTTAAGTTGCATTGGTTGGCTTTGCCGGGGTCAACTTGAGAATCAGCTGTCATGAACACAGCCCTAGAGCCAGGGCAAAAGGAAAGAAGTCAGATTCACATCCTCCAATGAGCAAAAGGTGGGGAAAGTTGGATCTCAAAGAAGAATCAAAGTGTTATTACCAGGAGAAGGGGAAATGATGGTGGAAAACAGAAGGGCAAGTTTCTACGTTAATCCTGACAGGCACCATCTTACTCTGTTCTGTCCTAGAGTCTTATTAACACCTCCAACTCCAAGTGAGGACCAAAGTGGCCCATGGGGCCACCGAGGGACTCAAGGAATGTTAATTATACTAGTATCTTAACCCGTGTACAAGAAGTGATCAAAATGTGCTGTGAATGTTTGAAATTTTAAAAATCTATTACAGTAAAAGTCACATTACAGTTCATTCCCTTCAAAATACTCTTCCTCGCACTTACCTGGTCACCCCCGCCACTCTCTGAAGCAGTTCTGGAAATGCTTTTCTTTGAGTGTCTTTACAAAATGGGATAAAAAGTTTGGTAAATGCTGCTGCCAGATGCCATCCAGCAGAAAGGCAACCTGTAAAAACCTCAGTGTGTCCTCACCCACCTTATTTTTCTAAATTTTTTTTATTTTAAAATGAAAAAAGAATAAAAATCATGATATGGAATTTCAAAACAGAATAATAGGAGATTAACACTGGCTATGTGTTAATTGTGTAATTGTGGCTGTGTGTTAATTGTGACGTTAAATGTTAACGTCAATTAGTAGCTCGCAGTACAAGATATAGGCATGAAAAAATGATCAAACAAAGTACAAACTGTTCTTCACCTCCCTGATTCACTGGATCTAGCACCTGGCTCTTCCCCAAAGTCAAAGTGGTTGTGAAAGGTAAACAGTGTAAGTCAGGTCAGCACATCAAGACACCCACAACAGGACAACTAAAGACACTCATGAGGGAGGACTTCTATAACTGCTTCAGAAAGTGTCAAGAATGTGTGTTTGAAGTAAGGATGAGTATTTTAAGGATTACTAATGGCAGTGAATAATAATTTTTAAATTTAAGCATTCACTGTATCTTTCAACCATGTTTCATCTAATAGAATCATGCAGTGGAGAAGTTCTAGGTGGGTTTCTCATCCTGACTTACTTACATTTGGCATGGGCAGTTGACTAAGCAAAGGAGAGAAGGAATCCGTGCCACTGGACTTTTACAAGTTAGGTATGCATGTTAAAAAGCCTTGGGTAACCACTTAAAAGATAAAGGGTAAAAGACCCGGGGTTTAGCTCAGTGGCACAAGTGCGTGCCTACCAAGCGAAAGCTCATGAGTTTGATCTCCAGGACAAAAAAAAAAGATAAAGAGTAATAAATCCGTATGGTGTAGTGGAAAGCCAGTGAATACAAAAAGATCAGTTTAAAACAAAGCAAAAAGAAGGGACAGATTTTTAAAAGTATGGACAAATGTGAAACACAAAAATAAATGTAAGAAATCAATGAAAATGCATCAGCAGTATCAGTAAATACAAATGGCATAAACTGGCCAGTTAACATATGATGGTGGTCAAGAGAGCTATATTAAATATCAAAGTGAACCTTAAGCAAAAGGTACTACTTAAGATAAAGATGGCCATCATATTTTAATAAACAGACAAATAACAATTGTACACTTGTGTGTACCAAATAACTTAACTTTACAAATGTGTAAAGTTGACACAACTACAAGGATAAATTCACAAAACATTATAGTATAAAATGTGTAGTATACTGCCATCAATATTTGAAGATCAAGTATATAAAACTCAATATGGAAATGCACTATTTTGAAAAGATTAAATTTTAATTTAATTATTTATCTTACTTAATTTAAATTTTAAATTTAATTTAATGAAAACCAAAACACTGCTTTCAACAACTAGAGAATACTTGTTCCTTTGAAATATAGTAGAACTTTTAAAAAGTTAACTGTGTACTATAATCAGAAATAAGTACAAGCGTCTTTCAAAACTAATACTGTGGCCACAATAAAATTAAGCAACAACAAAAAGATCATCACATGCACATTGGTGAGCACATTTCTTAGTAGATCGTGAATCCATAAAAATAATTATAAACATTAGAAAGTATTTTCAAGTAAATAATGGAAATACTGCATAACAAAACTTAAAGAGTATTCCTCCTAAGCTGTATTCAGAGGGGCATACATAACCTTAAATGTTAATAATTTAAAATATGTTTGAAATTTAAAGATCTAACCATCCAATTCAGAATGTTAAATAGGACAACAAAATAAGCTGAAAGAGAGATAAAAGAAGCAATCAGTGGAGACAACAGCAGAAATTAATGGCAGGAAGCAAGTAAGAGAAGGACAAAAAAGTAGAATTGGGCATTGGTGTCTTGTTCCTGTCATCTCAGGCATTTGGGAGACTAAGGTAAGAGGACTGCAAGTCTTTAAAGTATGTACATGTGCTTTATAACATCTCTGTGGATGATGAATATATTTTTAAAGTATAATGGTTAAACTAAATTATAACAAAAAAATGCATCCCACTAGAGGAATTATTTGAGACGTTTTATTTTCTTTTTATTAATCTCTGTGGTCTGCATTTTACTGTGAGCATGCAATATTTACGAAACAGTAGCAAGGGGTGTTGAAGCCCCCCAGAAGGAAGGTAGTTATTTCCCAGCCTTGGGGTAGCTTCTCTTTGATAATTTTACTGATTTCCGCTAGAGTATCTGCCTCAGAGCCCCGGCTCTGTCTGGAATGTTAACCCAAGGGCAGATACTCATGTGCTTAGTCCAATGTGTACAGTCCTAACACAGAAGAGGCTACTCGGAGCCTCCGAAAGGCCAGATTGTGACCTTGAGGCCCAAGTGCACGTGGGGTGCTCTGCAGAGGGAGGAACGGCTAGGCCCCCAGGAGAGCTGGGGCCACACCAGAGCTTGCAGGCAGTGGCTGGGCTGGGATGTGCTCACATGGCACTGTGGAAGCTGGCTGAGTCCTAGCTCCAAAGCCCAACAGAGTCAGGCTTCCAGCCCCATAGCTGGAGGCTGACAGAGTCCAAGGGAAGCCCCATGTTCTCTCTGCTCCATGTGAAAACAAAGCAGGGAACTTGGTTCCCTGTACCCTCACTGTGTGTTCACAACTGCCTCAAACACGAGGCAGAATGATTGATGTCATCCCCTCCCCTCAGCCTTCTCCAACCTATAGGTGCTCAGGAATCATTTCATCAGGATTTGGAAATAGAGGACAGGGTATAGATCACTGGTAGTGCTTGTCTAACATATGTGAGGCCCTGGGTTTGATTTCCAGCCCCGAAAAAGATGTGGCATTAGCAAAATTTAACTGAGTTCTTAGTATGAGCCAGCCTATATCCATACTTATACGCATTTCATAACACTGAATTTTTCCAAGTTGGAAACGCGGCGTTCACTTCTATTTGTGGTTCATGGATGCTGTCACCTCACAAAGGTACGCAGTGTGTTAGAAACAGAGTTGGGACTTGAATGCAAGTCTCCTGCACGTTCCTCTCTGGGTGGAGGGAAGAAGGGCCTTTGGCACATGGACTGCTCCAGATGGCAAAAGCAAGTCCCTGTCCATCCCACCTCACCTTGCCCAAGGACTTGGGAAGTAAAGCAGAGAGCTAATCTCTGGCCCCACATGGCTACCGGCAGGCCTGACCTGTGCTTCTGTCTCCACAGGAAGCTGTCTGTGTCCTGCACCATGTGCTTCAGCAACATCCTGAGTTGCTGCAAGAACCTGTGGGGGCTTCGGTTCCTTCAGAGACACCTGGGAGATCCCTTGGAGGAACAGCCTGAGGAGCCACTGTCTGAGAAGACCCAGACCACACCAGACCAGGAAGAGATGAGGGCACTGCCCTCTGAGGCTGTCTAGAGCAGCCCAAGGACATGAAGATATTGGTCCTGGTCACCCAAATTTGACACGGGAGCTCCTAAAGACCCTGCACTCACAGCCGCTGAGGAAGAACCCTCAGGTGCTGTGGTCCTGTAGCCCAGGGCCAACAGCCTGTTCTGTGCTCAGTATCCCCAGAAAGGGGCTCAACACTCTTCTGGGCTGAATTCCAGGGCTTCAAAGCTCACATTGGTGCTGGCCCTAGGAGTCATGTGCAGAGACAGCAGGATTTACAGGGATGTGTTTGCGCATGTGCATGGATGCATACATGTAGGAACATGCGTGTCCTCAGAGCAGGGCAGAGGGTGTTGCTCTAAAGCACTGTCCTCTCACTGCCTTGTGAGGTCTGCAGGATGAAGGAAACAAAGGGTAGGAAAGGAAAGAAGGAAAGGAGAGGAGAGGAGGAAAGAAAATTGCCTTCATAAACATTTGCTATGTGCCAGGTATTTCACTTGCATGAGCTCTCAGAATCCTTATAATATACGGTTAGGGTCAGAGCCACCTCCCCCACCGCCACCCCCTTTACAGAGGCTCAGAGATGCATAGGGCCTGATTGAGCCACTCAGCTAGAAAGTACACCTGGCACATAGGAGGTACTAGGAAACTATTTGTTGAATGAATAGGTGAATAAGTGAATGGATGGATGGGAGAATGGGGGAAAAGCCAAACCTCACACCCATACTCTTGACACTACAATACACTGCCTCTCCAAAGAGAGGCCAAGGTATTTCTTTGTTCAGCCTACCCTCCTGCTAGCGGGCTCAGCCCCTGAGGCCTAGGGATACCGTCACACTAAAGTCTGACCTTCTCTGGTGCTTGTTATCAACAAAAAGCTGTGTACAGGGAACTCACTGGGGACAGGGTGACTTTCTGGTGTCAGGGAGGACCGATGCAGGTGCAGGGCTGCAGAGGCTGTGAATGGGAGAGTTGACCCAGAAGTTGGTTCTGCTGGTCACGTGATCTCGGACACGTCACCTTACCCCTCTAAACAACATTCTCCTCCTTCATTTGAGAGTTAAGCACTCTTTTCTTATTTATGAGATTATTGAAGAGACCCAAAGAGATGGGATGATGAGAATTTTAGAAATATGAGGGTGTTGATGGGCTTCTCTGCCCCCAGGGTTTCTCAGTGGCGCCTTCTCAGTGACCCCACCCCTACCTGACACCCACTCTTCTCTTGGCTTCCAAAATCCCATCCTGGTTTTCTCCCACCTTGTCTACCCATGATTTTTCAATCCACTTGCGACTCATCTTTCCCTGCCCAGCCATCACATGCAGCCCTTCCCGAGTGCTGCCCTGAGCCTGGTCTCCTCACTACAGTTGATCTCACTCTGTCGCCTTGGCCACATCATGACTTCAGCTCTGAAGCATGAGGTTATTACTGAAGCATGAGAGAACTGTAGACACTCTGCTGCCTACCCAGAGGCCATGTCAAAGATGTCTAACCTTTAGTGCGTCTGTAATTGTGCTCTTGATCCTTTCCCTGGACTTGCTCCTCTCCTGGACGTCCCGTTCTCAGTTAAAAGCCCACCATGTGCCTCAAAGGGTGAGAGTCACTTTGGGCACATGCCTTTGCCTTGCTCCTCAAGGCTAGTCCTCCTGAGTCCCTCTGCACGTATCTACCACCCAAGATTCCCTGCATCTGCCCTGTGACCACTCAATTCAACTGCCATGGTCTCCCCTGGGGTGCCTGGAACAGCTTCTCGTACTCCTCCTCCACATTGTCCACCCCATTTCCCCCCTTCCTCCCTGTACCCCGCAGCCACAGTGGGCTGTGCAAAGTACAACCCTGATTGCATCACGCACAGAATAAAACCGTCCTCCTCATGCCCCGCCAGCCCTGCATGGTTGACCTTCACATGCCCTTCCAGCCTCCTCCTGCGGCACTCGGCACTCTTCTCCCCCCTTCTCTTTGCTTCAGCCCTACTTGCCTTTCTATTTATTTATTTATTTATCTCTCACTGCTCCTTCCAGCAGCCTGGTCACTCACAGTGCTATTCCAGGAAATGCCCTTCTTTTTCCTAGAGCCAATTGACTCCATGAGATCTCAGCTAAAATGTTGTTTCCATGAGAAAGTCTTCCTTGTTCCTAAATGCTAAATCAAGTCCCTACCACACATCCTCAGACCTTTTCTTGGATGCAACTGGCATGATTTTAATGCCATTGTCTCTTCTGTGATTCTTTAATGAAAATCATCTGCCTCCCATACTCATGAGCTCTTTCTGTTGACCGCTGTCTGTCTACCCCTGAAGAGTATTGGCAACAGTAAAAACTTAGTATCTGTTCAGTGATTGAACAGAGAAAATAAAGTGCAGAAACTGGTCAATGCCAACAGCTTAAACAGCTTAGCTGCCAATAAACCTCAAGGTATTATTTGCCTTTGTGACCCCCAGAGATACTTTGATTTATCAGCTGAATTCCTTCTGGAAACCCAAAAATTGCCTCTCTGGAAGTTTTTATAAGTGTCTGTGGCAGGTGGGTCTCTAAGTGATGGCCAAGTGATGGAAATGTAAGATCTCCAATGCCTGATTGCAGACTTTGATAGTCAGGCTTCCAGTCTCAGAGCTCACAGACCACTTTGCACTGTAGAGGACTCCTGCAAGTCTGTGTCTGACCTACGTCCTCCCCTTAGGAGGCCTCTGAGAGCCCCTGCTGGCTGCAGAAATTGAGTACATGTTGCCCGGAGGAGGAAGATCTGTGGTGGGACCCTGAATCAATGCCCTATGTCACCATTGTGTCCCAATAAAGCTATCAAGACAGATGCTGCCTCATGGTTGTAGTTTTTAACTTCCTGCTAAGGAAATACGAACATCACATGATGTCCTGATTTAGAAAAAGTTATAAGATTCTGGGGTAAAAGCCAAATTGTAAATTGCCTTAAAATTTTAGTAAGTTTTTCAGAAGCTACATTTCTTTTTGAAAGACCACATAAGAAGCCACAGAAAGGAAAAATCATGGAGAAGAGAGGTACTACAAGGTCATACTCTGGGTGGACATGGATTTTTTAAGAGACCCTCATAACCCACTACACCACCTAAAGTCTTATGTACAGCTTAGGATACTTAGGCCTTGAGGAGCGAAGTGACTTGTTCAATGTCACATAGTTTCCAACTTTCCTGGTGAGCCAGACACATAGTAGGTACTTGGTGTTTGTGGTGTAAAATGTTCCCAAAATTGTCAGATGCAGAGACACCTTTAATACATAGGTAAGAAGAGCATTTTTTAAATGGAAAATTCTTGGCAATCAAGGAAGGCCCACAATAGAGACAAGGTAGGTGGGGTGCAATCATGGACTTTGTACAAGGAATGAATCCCAAAGATAGCAATCGAAAGTCTTTGAGAAGGAAAGAAAAGAGCTTGTCAGAGTCAAGGACACCCTGGATAACCACAGTATCAACATGTGTGTAGAGTCCCCTGGCATGGGAAGGAGGGTCCTGGAGGGCACAGAATTCTGAATTTTGGGCCCTGCAGAAGAGATGATTAAGACACACCTTGATGAATTTTCACAGGAAGCAGAGGAAGATGTTGAATAAATCAAAGCTGACAGGCACTGCTCTGCTGAAAATAGCTTTTAATCTATGTCGGGGAACAAAGACAAAGCTGTGTAAGAGAAGACTTGGGAAAGGGGGAGGTAGCAAATTAAATCAAGGGTTGTGTTAACCTGTTCTCAACTGAACTGCTAACCTCTGATTCACAATGGGCTTGGGGGGACTAAGTAGGCAACCAGTCAGGGCTGGAACCCAGGAACTACAATTTCTGGAATCTGTTTCTGCCAGGTGCATTTTGTTCCGGTGGGAAATGGAAGAGAAATAAACACATGCCCTTACTGGTAAATAGGCAGAGGACTGGAGGTAAGCAGGTGAGCAGGTGGAGAGGGACCTCAGGGACTGCTGCACGCTACTGCAGGAAGTGTGGGGCCTCAGCAGGCCTCTGGTGAGCAGAAGGAGGCTTGGAACTTGCATTAGGAAGTAAGTCTTATGCTACAAGTAACGGGAAGCTCTGAAAGGTGTTAAGCAATACAGGGTTAAAAATGATATGACCTGAGCTATGAATAGAGCATTCAGACTCCGTTTAGGAAAATAGATTGAGGAACTCAGAGAGCAGAAGAGAGAATACTGAGGACTCCATGGCAGGTGAGGGTCAATAGCAACTGTGAAGATCTATTCACTAAAGTTCTCCAATTACGGGGCTGGGAATCCAAAGGCGTGAAGTGCTATCTGTCCTCCAAGAAATGGGTTTGTATCTACACATCACGAGGAGCCTGGGTAAAGAATGGGACAAGGAAATGAATGGGTAATTGTGAAGGCCAGGAGGATGGGACAAGGTGCAAGTGTGGGAAGATACAGATCACAGTCCCAGTGGAGTTCTAGGACGTGCTCCTGGAGCACACAGGGCCAGGTCATGTTTAAACTCACTTTAGATGCAATATGGATGCCAGAGAGTTGCTCATTAGCCCAGATTAATGGAGAATCTAATTCTTCTGATGATGCCTGAGCTCTTGCAAAATTACTTTAGTCTACCAACCTTGTATAGTCCTAAGACTAATTTCTGAGGGACAGTTTATGTCTTCCTTGTACAGATGCAAATGGAGCTTGGAGCAGTTAGATGGTTCTTTCCATCACATACAAGCAGTAGGTAGGACAAAGTTTCCACTAGAATTCCAAGATCTTACCAGAATTTCAAGCATTTCAGTGAGAATTCAGGAGTCCTTTCTGGTCACTCACAGCCTGCAGGGTCAGTGATAAAAATTCCTCTCTGAGTCATCAAGAGCCTTAACCGCTAGTAAGATGTTAATTGGAGGTCACTGCAGATGTCTGCACCATGTCATCAGCTTCCCTGCTCGAGTCACAGAGCACATGTTTCTCATGCCCTGTGGCTGCCACCATGCTAGTCAGAGCGCTGGCCTGGCTCTATCAGAGTCCTCCAACCCTGGGGCTTTACCAAAGTTCTCATGTGCTCAGTAGACTTGGAAAGACCCCTTAGGAAATGGAACCCAAAAATATCATGCAGTGTAGGTTGATTGGCTTCAAATGAATCTGTCCATTGCTTTCAACTGACATTTATGAATCCTGTACCTGTCCTCAGAGGTTATGTGGGCCCTTCTGCAGATACTGTCTCCTTTCTTCCACTGGTCATCCCATGAGGCAGCGGTCACTCAGCACTCCATACCCTGGGACTAAAAAGGGAAATGATATATAAGATGTGAACAACTTGCATAAGGAATATAGCTAGAATTCAGAGTACCATGCAGTCCTCTTATCTCCAAAGTCTAAGACTTTTCCTTCTTAATGTATGTTCCATTGCTAACTAAGGACATTAGTGATAATAGAGGTAGCATCTCTGTAAAAATTCGAACCAGGGATGGTGGTAGATACCTATAATCCCAGCGTTCCGAAAAGCTGAGACAGGAGGATCACAAGATCAAGCCCAACCTGAGTAATTTAGTAATTTAGTGAAACCTTGTCTCAAAATTAAAAAATGAGAAAAAAAACTTGGAATGTGGCTCAGTGCAATTAGTCAACAACAACAATAATAAAAAAAATGTTACAGACAAATTTAGAATCTGGGTACCCAGAAATTCAAAGTACCTAAAAGTTAACCTTAGCACACTCAATTCTTGATCTCAGAACAAGCTTCTGAGGGTCAATTTTAAATCCTCTTGTGCTGATCAGGGAATCAACCCCACCCCATTCTTTTTCCCAATTTTCTCCACTGAAATTGCCTTCCCATTTTGTTCTATGGTGTTTCGTTCCATTTTGTTTTGTTTTTAAAATAAAAATTACAGTGCACCAGAGGCAAATGCAGGAGGATCACTGTGAGTTCAAGGCCAGCCTGGGTTACATAGAAAGTTCGTGATGGGGCTGAACTACACAGCCAGATTCTGTCTCAAAACACCAAAAGAAAAAAAGTTACACTATACCTAAGAAATCCAGCGCAACAATATGTCTTTGAGTTTCTGCCATGATAGCACCTAAAGGTCTCCTTTATTGTTTATAACCATCAGAACTTGTTTCATGGTATCAGCATGTGCTATAGTTTAGATCTAAAATGTCCCTCCAGTCTCATGTGCTCAGGGTGGGGCCTTGGAAGGTGATTGGATCACATAATGAGCTCACAACTAAATGTACTATTAGGAGGTGGGGTCTAGATAAAGGTGTCAGGTCACTGTATCATGACCTGAAAGGAAATATTCTTGTCCTTCACTCCTCTCTTCACTCTCAGCATTCTGGCTGCCATGGATTGAGTATCTGTCCTTCATCACATCCTTCTGGATGCTATTTCTGCCTTGGAGCCAACCAACCATGGACTCAGCCCTCTGAAACCATGAGCCAAAATGAACTTCTCCTCCTGTAAGTTGTGGATGTCAGGCATTCCGACCCTGTGAAGAAAAGTGACTAATGCAGCACCCTTCCCAGTCCCCTCAGCCATGGACATTTGAGTCATTCCTATTTTTCTGTTGAAGATCTGCTGATCTTCTGACAATGTTTCCTTGTGCGTGTGTGCAATGAGTTTTTCACGTGGGGAGGAGATGACATGTGTATGTTCACCATGAATACACAGATAGTTCCTGATACATGATGGCTGGGCATAGAATTTTTTGACTCTACATTGGTGCCAAAATGATGGGCATTCAGTAGAAACGTATTCCGATCATGGATTTTAATCTTTTCCTCAGACATGGGTAGGGTTCTTTTTCATGAAGCTGGGAAACAGCAGCAATTCTCAGGTCCTACACAGCCAGGGAGTAGCCAGAGTGAGCACTCAAGACTACAGTGCACTGTGTTGCTAAACTGGGCTGTCGGCAGGTTAGGTGGAGTCAGTGCACATTCAACAGGATATTTTCAGCTTGTGATGGGTTTGTAGGAACATTACCCCATGGTAAGTCAGTAACTCTAAGTATTAAGTACAGATGTTACCAAGTAGACCTCTGAAGAGTCCTGGTTCATTTACACTTCCACCAGCAACATTGGAGAGGAACTGTCTTCCCACAGTCTCACAAGCCTATCTGGGCCTCATGGCCTTAATGCTGAGATACATCCTCAGACTTTTAAATTTTTTTGTTTCGAGGTGTCATTAAGTCACTAAGCTGCAGAGGCAAGGTTCAAGCTGTGATTCTCCTGCTTCAACCTCCTAGAGTGTAGGGGTTACAGGAATGTGCTGCAGTGATTGGCTATACCTATACAGTTTCTCCCATGCCCTGTGGCTTCTCTCATTCTTTAGAAATTATAAGTTATCTCTAGGACTTATAAGAGTCCTAGAGATAATTTCTTTTAGAGATAACTTATTTCCAATACAGAACAGAAGATTTAGGAAGAAACAATTCTCAAGGGTATCCTTGGGTTCACCCAAGCTTTTCATGAGCTTTGCAAGTCCTGCCATCCCATCCGCATCTCTGTAGAGGAAGCCAACTCTGCCCAAGACACATAGCTATTGAAGGCCTAGAACTGCATAATAAATATTCACAAAGTCATTCGACTTATGACAGTAAACATTGATCTAGCTCATATGTCCGCAGATTGGTTAATCTAGGAAGGGCTCTCTGAGATGGTTCAGGTTTTCTCCATGCGCCTCTATCTCATCCTCTCCAGGGGCCAGCAGGTTACTCGGGCATGTTCTTCTCATGGAAATGGCAGGGACACAAAAGAGCAATCCCAGAAGCATATGTGCATTTCAAGTTTCTGGGCATATTGCCCACAAATACACCATTAGCCAAAGCAAGTCCATGGCCAACCCACAGACACAGCAAGGAAATCCACTCCT